CAGAGAGAGAGAAGAGGACAACAAACGAGGGGCTGTGACAAACTGTTTCGTCAGAGTTTCACCGACTCATCAGGAGGCTGAACCCTCAACAGTCTATATATATATATATTGCAACTACCTGGACATTGTCAAGATAACTTGCCCTACAACCGGTGTTAGGGAAGACTGTGACCGGACCCTATTTTCTGCTGTCGGAGACCCCAGACGAACCCATCCTAGCCAAGCTGTACTGCACGACCTTACCGAAAATAGAGAGAACACGAAACTGCGAAAATGGAACCCACACAGGCGGAGCCTCCTGGCTGCGAACAATGAAACGATCAATCTCGGTGGTGCTCCCACGTCTGTCAGGGTGCACTCCCTTCGTCTGGGGAAGAAGATAGGGAAGAAAGAGCGGAACAGGGAGAGGGATGGGCAGACTCGACGCGAGCAGGAAGCAGAGTATATCAGGAAGATCCGACAGTCATCTTTATCAGCATAGGCGAGCAGGACGCAGAGTATAATATCAGTATCAGGGAGGGAGGGGAAGGGAACAGGACAACGCGACAGTCATCTTTATCAGCATAGGCGAGCACGATGCAGAGTACATTGGCAACGTAGGGGAAGGAAGACGCGGCAGCCAGCAGCATCGAGGAAGGGGAAGCAGAGTATTTTTCGTAGGTGAAGGGAACGAGAAAAGGTGACAGTAATCGCTACCTTATATTACGCAAGGGAAGCGAGCAGGGAGGATAGTATTTTGCGTAGGTGAAGGGGAAGGAGAAAGCGTGACAGCAATCGCTACCCTGTAGAACTTCCAGTCATTATAGCTGTATGTTTTGGGGCAGCCTCCAGTCCAGATAGAGCGACAATTACCGGGCATTCCACGACAAGGAAGGCGGTGAGGAACACGCCGCAGAAAAAGGTCCCCCCCTTCCTGCCAAGGAGATCTTCAGCACGGTCGTGCGTCTTCTGTTGGCTCCCAACCGCTCGCCAAATGGCGGAATCCGAGCCGTTCGTACGGGTGTGTGGCAGTAGACGTCCTGAAGGGCCATTCACCCTGAAGGGGGGAGTAGTGCGGAGGAGGGGTCTCTGGAGAACCTATGACGCAGAGAGCGGAAAGGGCGAAAGAGTCTTGATGAAGACCATCTCCTTGACTCAGCCTGTGAGTTTGAGGCTCAGGCAGGCGCTAGCCGAATACATGAGGGCCTTCTCCATGTCTCCGCTACCGCAGCGGACCCCCTCTATTCCAGGCTTACTGGACAGCTTCTGGGAACTCGGCTCGGACAACAAGTTGCGTCTCTTTCTCATTATGAAGGGAGTGGAGGGGAAGTCTCTCCGAGAAATCGTGGCGGCGGAAGCATCACCGTTCTCCGAGGAGGAGGTGGTCGACATGGCCGTGGAAGTGTTGCAGGTTCTGAGCAGACTCGAGCAATCTCATCCCCCAGTGATTCACGGAAATATCGATCCTGGGAACATCATTGTGGACGTCGAGAAGGCCAGGCTGGAGGGCACGTGGGTCGGTCACGTGAAGGTGGTTGGTCTCGAGACTCCTCGTGATTGCCCTGCTTCAGAGCTTGCGGGGGAGTCGTCGGAGCGCCATTTCCTGGCGCCGGAGCAGTTGGAGAACAGGCCCGTAAGTCAGTCTGATCTTTATGGATTAGGGGCAACCGTTCTGTACCTCTTGTCTGGAAGACCTCCGTCGGCGTTTCCCAGGGATCAGCTGTGTCTTCAGTTTCGGGAGCAGGTTCCCATGACTGTGAAGCTGGCGGATGTGCTGGATCGGCTGTTGAAGCCTCGGCCCGAAGACAGGTTCACGAATGCGAGAGATGTCATCCTAGCTCTCCGTTGGCAGCGGCCTCCTCGTCACTCAAGTACTCATTCTGCCACCCCAACTACCCTCGTGGAGCCGAATCACGTATCCTCCCAATTGTCACATCAGGACGGTACCGCAGTGTCACGTCCTCAGCCATCTCCAAGGAACGTAATTCCTGACTGTGGCAAGGTAACGTTGATAAGCGGCAATACCTGGGTTGTTGTCGGAGATCGACCTAAACGAGCAAACGTAGACGTTTCTTCCGATGGAAAGGAGATGTTCATTGACATCCCTGCGCGTGGACTGCATTTCGCGTGCGTTTTCGAGCTTCTCCTTATGTCCCTTTGCCTACTGGGATTCTTCCCAGGAGGTATCTTGGCGATGGTTTCGGTCTCCATGTTCTACCTCATGCTTCTGGCACCTTACCTTTGCTGTGTTTGTCTTCTTGCGCGATGTCGTTGGAGGCGAGTGACGCCGAGTCTGTCGGTGAGAATTGCTTGGGGGGGGTCTTACAGAGTGTGTTGGAGTAGGCCTGGAGGGAAGTGCAAAATCATGAGCGGCGAAATCAAGAATGTTCAGGGGGTCGGGGTGGCAGTCGAGGTTGTGACTAAAGACGAAGGGAAGAAACATGAAATAATAAAAGGGTGCGAGGTGGTTGAACTTACAAGGAAAGTTCGTTTTGGAGAGTGGTTCAGTTCAAGGAAGGCAGTATGGCTAGCAGATGAGATGAGCAAATTCATCGAAGGCCACAAGCAGCAGGACGCGGATGCAGCAGGTGAAGCGATGGCGTAGCTACGAGGTGATTTGACTGATTGCAGACCTTTCTTATTCTTTTTCTTTTTCTTTTCTTTTTTTATTTTTTTTTCTTTTCTTTATTTTTTTTTAAAGGCCCATGGGCAAGGTCGCGATCCCGGTGGTCGTAAGAGAACCACCGAGATTGATTGTAGTCCTTATTAAGCAGCACGAGGTTTCGTTTTGGTTTTTACGATGTCTCCATTTATACAGGTCATCCTTGCGCAGAGATCATGCAAATTACTACTCGTTCCTTTCTTTTTTTTTGGGGTGGGTGGGGGGTTGGGGGGTCGGGTGGGGTCAAGTGGAATGGGTTCGGGGGGGGAAAAGGGAGGGAACATCGTTCGGATTTGATCAGATATCACGAAGAACCAGTGAGACGTTTTCCTTTTTCCAGAGCCCAATCCCACGTGCTGAAATTCTTCATTTACGACGGTCTATCACGGCAATCTAGGGTCAGAAATGAATGATCCACGTAAGTCGGACTAGGCTCCCGGACAACCGATGTTCTTTCTGGAATTCGAGAAGTTACACTCTGTGTAGCATCGCGTTCGGGCTGGGTGACCGAACCCGAATGCTCGGTACCGAGCCGGAACGTGGCCCAAAATAGACCGAGCCCGAACTTATATATGAGTCGGTGAAACTCCGACGAAACAGTTTGTCACAGCCCCTCGTTTGTTGTCCTCTTCTCCCTCTCTGCCTACGGTTTACCGGGCAGTTCTATTTGACGATATATATATATATATATATATATATATATATATATATATATATATATATATATATATATATATATATATATATATCGTCACAAACAGAACTGCCCGGTAAACCGTAGGCAGAGAGAGAGAAGAGGACAACAAACGAGGRGCTRTGACAAACTGTTTCGTCGGAGTTTCACCGACTCATCAGGAGGCTGAACCCTCAACAGTCTGCAGAATCCCCTCACTGATTACACTGTAAATGATAATCTACCTTAACCAAAATCAAGTAGACTATCACTCACCCACACCATATATATATATATATATAGGGGTTGGGGGGCCGTAGGGGGCATTGCTCATAACTCTTGAACATACACACACACACAAACACACCACACACACGCATACAAACATGCATACACACACACCCCACACACACTCCACACACCACACACATGAGGACGTGCTCATAAAAGCCCCCTAATTTGCGCTCGACCGAACATGTTCGGTTCCTGCTCAGCCGAGCGGGCTGAGCGTCCGACACAGGTTTGGCTGCTCGGTGGGGCGCCGAACATGTTCGGTGTGCTACACAGGTTACGCTTTCCATTCGTTCTTCCTTTCTTTCTTTCTTTCTTTCTTTCTTTTTCCCTCCTATGTGATTCACAAATGGGTTGCTGTATTTTTCTCTGTTTTTTTTATGTTTAACTTCCAAATTGAATCCTTTTCTTCGAATTTCCTTTTTAAGCACTGATTCGGGAACAGAATTCAACCCTAAAACAAAAAGAATGATCGAGAATGTTAAATATTTCACTAAATCCATAATCCGATATTTGTATTTATCCCCATTATCCCCGATAGTCGGAATCGTAATCAGTACGAGTAAGCTCCACACCTCGCGGTGCTTTTACTTCTCGCCTATCCAAGTGGTGGTCTTTCACTTTGTATGATAACTTTTATCAAGAGGGGTTTCCCGCTTATATGCTTTCAGCGGTTCTCTGTAGCTACCCGGCAATGCCACTGGCATGACAACCGGTCCCCCATGGGTTTACGCATCCCATACTTGGGATGGCTTCTCTCAGTTCTCTTTGAATCACCAATGGTAGATAGGAACCGAACTGTCTCACGACGTTCTAATTGTTATGTTGGCCACTTGCCCACGCGAGCCTGTTGTTGCTCAGTATACATACACTAGTTTTCTGTGTTTCCCCCCGTACGTGTACGGGGAGTACGAACGGCCGTATGGCCGTACGTACGGGACCCCAGGCGATCATACGGGCCGTACATATGGTACGACCTGTTTCGGGGGCTTTCCTGGGGGGGGAAGTGACATCTAAGGAGGGGGGGTGCATGTCGGGGGCTACCCCCCTAAGTAAAAAAAAAGAAAAAAGGAGAAATTTTGTTGGGGGGTTGAAGGGGTGGTGGCCCTGGTGGGGGGTTGAAGGGGTGGTGGCCCTGGTGGGGGGTCGGGATTTGAAAAAAAAAAAAAAAAGATGGATTGATTGATGGATTAAGGAAGAAATAAAAAGAACAAAAAATAACACCCCG